GGTCCTTCAGGTGCAGGCATAGAAACCGCAGGAGCCTCTTCTTCAGGAATCAAGGCCACCGTGGTCATATCACTTTCAGCATATGGCCCTTGAGATGGTACTACTGGTTCGTCACCGTATGCATTGTCACCAGCTTGCCGCTTTGCTCTGTAGCCTGAATCGACGACAGGAGATGGACCGGAAGGAAGCGGGTTCACCACGGGTTGTGCTTCTTCCTCTGGTACAGTGATGATAGTGGTAGCCTCGACACCAATATACGGTGATTGTGAAATAGGTAGATTAGGTTCGTCACCATATGAATTATCACCAGCTTGTCGTTTTTCGACTAAAATGGAAAGAAAACTAAACGTAGTTCGTTGAAGGGATCAGAAGGCAGCAGTAGGGACATACCTGGTATAGCAGTAATAGCTAGAATAGTAAGCAGAAGGACGACGACACTGTCGACAGGGTTCATTGTAAACGTCTGGGCTGCAATGCGTTGACGTTAACGTTGTTGCCCTTTTATAGTCACCAGTGGCAGGAGGATCACACGAGACGAGAGGAACCTGATCGAATCAAAACACGATGAGGAGCGGCGGAGGGAATTGCGGCCGTGAGACAAACGGCAAGAAACCAGTGCATTCAGTGAAGGCGCTCATGTGTGTACTACATTGAGTTTCGATGATTTCCTTGTAATGAATGCATATAGCACTAGACATTAGACACTGCGTATTAATGCATCTCCCATGTGAACAACACGACCTCATTAAAACTGGAGCGCGAACTTCGTTCCCATATAAAGAACACGAGGCAACCTATAGACCAAGCACCTGCTTCAGACAGAGCTTTACTCAGCTGGTACACGAGGGTTGCTTGTCATCCAGGGGTAAATATAAAGCCTATCCCTTTTGGGACCAGATACCCAAACTGTAGAACTACATATTTCAGCCAAACTGCCATCCCTTTGCTAACATTTTTAGTTACCCAGTCTACAACATCCCAAATACTGTATACTCCTCAACAGGTATGGGCGTGGTCTCGGCTAGGGTAACCGATTTTGAAGCTGCCGTCAAAAGACCAGCTTTTTTTCGGTGCAACTTTACTTTTTGAGGGATTTCCAGTTTTCTGAATTTGATTGTGGATGCAAGCTAAAAAGTCGATTGATCCATCCATGAAAAAAGTCCAATCCCTTTATATCAGTATGACTGCCGGTCTGAATGAGTCACATCAGCC